CATAGCTTTAACTAACATAACAAAAGAATATTTCAGCTTATTAAGGCATCTCCTTATTTCTTTCCCCATCTGGAGCTTAATTCCTTTCTTCACTGTCTTTGATAGTTTATGTTGTCTCTTCACTCTCTCTTCTCCGCTCTCTGGAAAAATTATTAATCTGCAAGTCTCATCTGGGTAGTGAAAGGGTTAAAATCTGGCTCAAACTGCAGCAGGTATTCATGATGTCAGGTTTCAGCTCAGTGGCGCTTACAGCTGGGGACCCCCACTGGGGAAAAAAAAGCTTCAGCCACCCCAGAGGCTTCCCGGGAGGCTGTACCAGAGCCCAGCCCGGCCTGGGCCTCGGGAGAGTCCCACAGGCTCCATCTCCCAGCCAGGAGGCACAGCAGGCCCAGCCCAGCCTAGCCCAGCCCCCGCCCGGGCCGCATGGCCTGGGCAGGGGACAGGAGCCAGATGGAGTTCTGTTACCTTTCAAAGCTGGAAACCAAAGAGAAAGAGAAATTCCCAAGCTTAGGTTTTAAAGGGTGGTGTTCACAGGTTGATCTCACTTTTCAATGGTCAAACCTACTGTCAATTCTCAGAAATAGCCAGTTATAGACCAGGAGAAAAAAGGCTGCTGGAGGCTCCAGCAGCCTTAAGTGCCTTAGCTGTTTCCCTTTTTTTTCTTAAATGCCAGTCTATCACACTGCTCCACTTTATGGTTGTACACATGTATTTCAGTGTGGCAATTGTATTTATAGTAAAATCAGTCACTCCCAAATGTTCTGATTATATACAGGTATAACCTTTTCTAGCATACGGAGAAAGAAAAAAAGAGAGCTCTTGAGAAACAATGGCATTTAATTGCTGATTCTAAATTTGGTGGAGTTTTGCCATCTGATTCTGTGAGGTCTATTACCCCATCTAATCCTGCAATGGGGTTCTGCTGAGAATGAGCTAGGAGTGAACCTCAGTGAGACATCAAAATCAGACTTTAGCATGAGAACATTTTCTGCATATGTCCTAAGCATTTACCACCTTAGAGACATCTGTTTGTATTTTTTATGAAATTCTGTGTGTCTTGCTAGCAAATACCTTGTGACAATTTTAAATAAGAATGTACAGTTATAATCTCTCCCCAAATGGCCAGATAGTAAACATTAGATTTTTCAAGTATTTCAGCATCTGCAGCCTGTATTTTGGCTGCTTTTCTCTGTATTCTCTGAAATACAGAGTCTGCAAAAATATGCCTGGAGAATAGCTGCAGGGTTACTCATTAAAAAGGATTAGCACCTTCCCCACCTCTTTCATGCATTCAGATATGAAGAAATAAAATGGCATGAGCTGTTTCTCTTGTTACCTACTTAAACTGTTCCTTAAACTACTCTAGGCATCACTCTTCTCCAAATTATCTTCCCATCAATCAGGTTTTTCCCCCTCATTTAATTCATGTTTACAACGCATATTTGCTTCCAAAGATTTTTTCCAGACATGCTTTGCTGTATCTGTACCATCTAATAAACTTTCTGCATATGAATATTCCCAGCCTTGTCCAACTAATACACTATTTCTCCATATGTTTCCTGAGTGCTGTTTATCCATTTGTCTGTGGATGCTTGTACATTGTTGAGAAAGCATCCAGGGCCTGGATGCTGGATCAAAAAGCCAGAGAAATGTTAGTTAGCAGTGAAACGCCTCAGGTGCCAGAGTTCTGGCTCAAGAGATCTGTGTGGGATGGAGAGCCCACACACTGAATGGAGGTTGCAATGCCCTGCTCATGACTGCATTAATTTTAGATCAGCTGAACCAGTTTTGTCCTTGCTAGCCTCTAAAGAAGCCTTGCTCAGCTATACTTCTCCTTGCTGCCACATTTCTACACAAAAAAAAAAGACCTTCTGGTGGTTGCAAATGGATGGATGTCATTAGCAGACATATGACACAATTTAGAAAAGCAGGTACAGATTAACATACTGAATTTTCAGGAAACAATGCTGAACTGATACATTTGTAATTTTCTGTTGTCTAAACAAAGTAGGAAATATCACAAATATACAAAACTGTGTTGCAAAGGTCATATTAAAAAAAAAAGACCAAATTCATTATTACAAACATAGCATGAAATCAGAGCATATGCTCCCCTCTTCTGGGTCCCATAGTATTAAACTGCACTATAATCCTGAAGTCTATCATGTGTGTGTCCCTGAGACTATGTTTCCTGAGGCCATTACTAGCAGCCAGAGTTAGCTGTTCGTGTCTTCATCGGCAGCATGCTTATTAAGTGTTTGCTTTGTGTAACAGCATTGTCTCTAAATTAATGCTTTTCTTGTGTTGAACTTTGGAGTGAAGTACCACACCTTGCAGGCTTTTTAAAATCTGAACTGCTTGGAAAACTGCAATTTTGACATTATCCTGACATCATTTTACAAAATTATAGAATGGCCTTGGGTTGGAAGTGACTTCAAGAGAGATCATCTAATTCCAACCCCCCTGCCACGGGCAGGGACACCTTCCACCAGACCAAGTTACTCAGAGCCCCATCCAAGCTGGCCTCGAACACTCTCAGGGATGGAGCATCCACAGTTTCTGCAGGCAACCTGTTTCAGTGCATCACCACTCTCACAGTTAAATATTTTTTTCCTATTATCTAATCTAAATCTACTCTCTGTCAGTTTAAAGCCATTCCCTCTTGTCCTTGTCCCTACATGCCCATGTACATAGACTCCATCTTTCTTCTAGGCTCCCTTCAGGTACTGAAAGCCAAGATTTATTTGAAATTACATGAGAGTACTGAGCAGAGAGAATGCTTCTCCACATGTAATAGCTGAAAGCTAACTCAGTATGTGCTTACCTTAATAGTAATTACAGATGTAAGGTCTATTAGATCATCTTTAAGAAGCCACTCCTTATCTGAGGGGAGTTTACAGCCTCTGGTAGTAATGCAGGTAACCAGCACAAGAGAGACCATTTCAGTTTCCAGCTGACTTAGTGGCTTAAAGGGCTGAGTTAACAAGGCCAAGGCTATTTTTTGGTACGTAGTCATTTCTCTTGGTATCCTCAGCAGTGTTGCCTCATCAGCTCAGTTTTGTCCTCAGAGAGCTTTGGCAAGGGACATCCCTGGTGCATCAGTGCACAAGGTGGTCTGCAGCCAGAGACACTTTAGAGAGGGCAGAGAGCTGCATCAGTCAGGAGTCAGGCAATCCCAAAACAGAATGGTTTGATAAAATCACGACCATTAGTAAACTGTCATGAACCAGCCTTTTCATAAGAAGTCTGTTTACATGATTTCAATTAAATTCCACTTTTTTTTTTAAAAAAAAGTTTTATTAAGTTTTAAGCATGTGTGTATTTTGTTATTGCTTTTTTTCTGTCATAAATTAATTTGATAGAATATGCTTTAGGAAGCTTAATACTAAAGCCATAGTATCTTTGTCAGAATTAATTAGTTGTTCACAAAGATTCACATACTCTGAACTTCGTTAATAATGATAATTTATTATTTTCAAAGTTTAATAACCTTGGTTTGAAGTGCAAAGCAAAAAATCAAAGTAAGATCGGCAACAGCAGTCAGGAATTTATCAAAATTCCACCTGCAGTAATGCCACACCAGTATTTTTCCACACATTTTCCACTCAGATCTCCAATTTCTGGCGGAGAAGGTCAGAAGCATTTCCATTTCACAGACAAAACTAAGGTACAGAGTGCAAGGCTGTAACTTGCTCAATACTATTGGATAAACCGGTACCAGAAGTACAATCCCCATTACTGAGCTCTCAAGTCCAGGTGCTGGAAATTCCCCTCTCCTTTCCTGTCCGTCAAAGGCGGCAGCCAGTAATGACCGTGCCCGCTGTGCTCTTCCCTCCCTGCCATACCTTACCTCTTGCAGGTCCCAGAGAACAGGGCCAGCGCAGCCAGCCCACAGCTCCGTGTCCTCACGCAGCAAGTGGTGTTTACCACAGGCGAGGAAACCCACGAGTACGTCAAACACGTACACGGCTTTATTTAGGACTGAGGGAACCGAGGACGAACATCTACACGATAAGAAGGCAAACAGAAGGCCAAACGTCGCCCTTGAGGCCCTCCAGACCTCGCTAAAGCGGCACACAAAGGAAACAAGTCCCTGTCCTCACCCTGCACAGCACTGAAGCCCCCCATAGCCGCCTGACCTCCGGGCAGAGCTCCCGAGCGCGCACAGCCGGCCCGGCACTGGCACACTGCGCTAGCAGCGACCAGGACAAGTGAAAGATATTCAATATTCCCCCCACCCTCCCTCGACGAAGCAGCTGCCGGCAGAGCAGGAGCGGCAGCCCGGGACAGATTCGGCCCACCCCCCAGACCCGCTCCCTCCAACAGACTTCCGCGTCGGGGACACGTCTGCGCATGTGCGAGCAACACCAGCACCCCACCCCCCCAACTATCCCTGGCTGTACCACTGTGCGCCCAACGTATGTGTATAGGCAAAAGAGGGCAGCGGCTCCAGGCAGCTCTGCTGGCCTCAGACCCACCTGAGACTTGACATTAAGAATCTCGTTCTCTTCTCGAGTCTACAGGTGCCCTCCAAATTCGTTTCTCGCCCAGTTCCCGCACTAGATCTACCCCAACTTCCCCCGGGTATGTGCTATGGTACATGCCGCTCCCAGCTGATTCGGTGGCTTGACGAAACCATCGCACTCAGAACGGGGGGACCCACAGTGCGCGAGGAGGCTTTGTTGCGCGAGGGGCAGAGCGGCGCTCCGGGGAGGGCGGGCGCGTGCCGCTGCAGCACCGGGGCGGTCACTGGCACCGGCGGGCGGACGGCGCTGCCGCCTCCGCTCCGCTGCCCA